TTCACTGGAAATTTGTGGCAAATGCGAGTGGGTCACACATTTATGCCTTCGTTTTACACTGGCTGCCGAACAATATGAGTATAAAAACAGATACGTGATCAAGGTTCTGTCAAATTTGTGCAAGAAATAGGCTGAGTGTGTACAACCATGCTAACAACTCTGTCAGGCTGGACTGAGCATTAGCATGCTTACATTCAACGCTAACAAGCTAATGCTAATGAGGTTTAATGTTTACTACGTTCACCATCTTAGTTTACAACAAGCCATCTTCTCAAAAGTGAGACCAAATCATCTTGCTCGCCCCCTGGTGGCTGGCTGCAGTGTATTTTTTAATTCACCCCACCTTCTCCATGTTAGTGGAGGGTAAATGGGCCAAATTAAAAAGTCAATGTTCACAAATACTGTTTTTGCTCAAAGATCGTTTCTATCAGTTTAGGGTCGTTCTTATCACACTGATGTTTGTGCAGGTGCTCATATTTCTCATGAATTTGGTTTTAATTATTTGATGCTATAAAAACGGGGTGAAACAACATAATCAACAGCTGAGCCTGACTCATGATTGGTCGATACTTCAGCTCCTCAATCAACATTAACAAACACAAAACTTTAATGTCTAGCTCCAAAGTGAAAAATGTCGTCGCCCAAATATGTTTGTCCAATTTTTTGTACAACGGGAGGAATTTGAGACGCTATGTCCATTTTATATACAGTCCATGGTGTAGTGTGTTAGCATGCTAACTTTAGCAATAAACATCATGGTGATGTCAGTAGTTTTTGGCCATGAAATGATGAACTACACAAGGTTAAATGTGAAGGGATCAGCACAGAGATCACAGTTCATCTTGAGGAGGACACGCATTAAGACCATAACACTAACATGTTTAGAAACTAGTCACGTTTACTTCTTTGTTGTCTATCTCATTTTATTATTTAATGCTTTTAAAATGTTTTATGTCACTTTTTTGTTTGTCACTCTAGAAATTGCTTTGAAGTTAAATTAAAAATGACTTGTTTTCCTGTTTTTAATATATTAATAAAAGCCATGACCAATTTTTTGCTTAAGGTTATAGTAGCTTTTTTAAAGATTTCTTAACATGAATTTCTACACAAATGGTTCAAAATGAGCACTTAAGGCTTAATTGTCATTAAAAATTTAAATGCTCTTCTAACATTAGTGTCTCACAGGAAAATGTCCCCATCATCAATGTCTCCGTGGTCGTTACCTCCAGCAAGTGTCGTGCAGCGAGACAATAAAAAATGTATGGCAAGACAATTTAAATCAATCTTACATGACCCTCATGACCTCATTGAGAAAAATCCCATTGGTCAGCCTGAGGTAGCGATCTCGGGTACTCTGGGAAATTGAGTTCACTTCCAGGCTGTAGAGGATGCCGTCCTCCCTTTCAACCATCTTCTCGAACAGCTGAACCTGTGAGAGACGGGGGAGGGTTATGTTGAATGTGAGGAGATAGGCATGAGAGTGGACCAGGAGGTGGACACAGACAGGAGGAAAAAATAAGTGCAGACTGCAGAGAGAGAGAAAGAGATGGAGAGGCATAAACATTTTCACACCGGAAGCCACTTGAGTCGGTGCACCTGTCTATACAGGTGGGAGCTGTGCTCTCCCACTGGGAAACACTTCACAGTGACAGGCAGCCAAGCAGGACTGTAGCCAAGGTCTTTCTCTCTTTGCTAAAAAAGAGCTGTGCCAATGCAAACTGTAATATAATGAAGTTTATTCCCACCTGCACCTTCTAAAAACTGCATTTTGGGTAAACACAAGCTTGGGTTTTTTCAGCTGATGAGCTGAGGCATAGTGACCCTGTGCGACAGGGAAGCAGAGGATGTCCTTCAACATACTGTATGTGAAGCAGAGGAGGAAACACTCAGTGTATAAGCTGAAGTGCCCTTGAGCAAATGCTGTCCCTCTGCCAGATGCAGGCCATTCCGTTGAACCTGACCTCTGACCTCCGATTTGAAAGAGGCACACCATAAAAAAAGAGTATCCTCACAAGGTTACGCAGGGTATCACACTACATAAATACTGTTCATTGTGCAGCAGGGGAAGAAATCCCCCTGGGCCGATTGGTTCCCCATGTGGAAAACCCAGCTGAAGATTCACTATACATGCAACAACCCCTCAGCTGATTTCAGAGGGACTATAAATTCTCTTGAACACACAGTGGATAACTTTGTATGTCGAAAAAGAATGTGCACCAGATACAAGGAAGTATCATGGCTAGGAGCAGAAAAAAACTGGTTATTAAGAGGCAAAGGAAGCTGCCAAAAGCAGAAGTGCAGTTAGTTTTGTTGTGCTCAAAAGTAAAAACACTGTAACTAGGCTATTTTCTGCTGTTTATTTAACTCATATTTATACATTTATCTGGAAGAATAGAAGGCTGCTGTTAAACACACCGAGTCATGAGTATTTGTGACTCAAAATAATTGAGGATTTACTCTACAAATAGCCATTGTAAAAGTGCTTCACTGTTTTTTTATCCTCCTCTCTTCACCAATAGAAACGATGACCTTTCCTCTAGCTGACAGTGATAAATGATAAATGACGTACCCATTGCGCCAACGCACTTTCCATGAATTCCTCTATTATCTCCGTAATCTCCGCGTCCATTGTTGTGTGAGAAGAGCAGTGAAACACTACAGAATATATCTAATTCAAAAACATTACAGACAGCGCGAGTAATGAATGAAACAGAGAAAGAGAGACAGAAGCCATCGCGCCTCAAGTGAAGTACTCTGACATTTCATGTGGCCCTTCCCTTCCTCCACCTCTCTGTCTCTTCCTCTCTCTGTTTCATTGCAAAACCAAAATCACACCGGAACTGTCACAACTCACATGTTGAGGGTGTTTTTTGAACCTGACAGATTTGCCCTCCACTCAAAGGCATAACAACACAGAGCCAACCTCAACTGAATCTATATGACTGAGAATACTCTATATTTATAATAACTATATTTATAAAGGTAAATACATGGGCTATATGTGCTTTAAATATAAAATTGTTTACAATAATATATGTAAATGTATATATATATATTACAAAAATAGAATTTTAAATGTATTCTATATTTTATGTGTATGTGTATACAAGTATACAAGTAACTAGTACAAGTACTAATACTACTACAAGTTGTAACTAGCTAAAAATAGTTATAGTTATTGTTGTAGCCAAATAACCTACAAAGCAACAACTTTCCCAGATACTATACAACTAAAAAGGGCTATTATATAATGGGTAAATTAATAGATAGATAGATAGATAGATAGATAGATAGATAGATAGATAGATCCTGTACCAGGCTTTCAGTTCACCACCAACAAGTTGTCAGAGCTGTTGTGGTTACCTTGTTCCTCCCAAGTCCTTAGAGGTCAAGACTTCTTCTAGCCCAGTGCAATAGCGCCCCCTAATGGTTCACAATCAAAGTCCCCATCTGCTCAGTTTGTGGATTTCATCACTATTTCCATCACAGTCACTGGGGGATGTGTAACCAAGCAGCAGCCCTGTTTTTATTTATGCACGGCACTTCCTGCACAGAGAACACTGTTTTAAGACACTGGCTCTGTACCAGCAGAACAATACTTTTTTTTTCTTTTGCACTGACTGATCTTATTTGCAATCAAGATTTGTTGCCATATAAAACTCTGAGTATCTAGATGTATAGATTGATTTCCATGTTCTATGTTTGTACAACAGTAGGCTCTTGTTTGTGTAAACATCAAGTATTTCATTTAAATACAGGGAATCTTAAATTTGCAAGAATTCACAATGAAAAATGCTTGCCAATGTTGCTTGCATACTAATCAGTTCATTTTTATATATCAGTATATAAGGTTAATCTGGTGTAACCATTGAAGAAGAGCAGACAACTGAATTATATCTAAAGGTCAAACTTTCAATGACACTGCTTCATCATCTGCTTGTGTTTTTGAAGAATGTTTCTGCCAAAGAAATGTACCTGCTTTTTGTGAGTAGAATAAAACATTCAGTGACCTCATTCTGTGATAGAGTTTTATTTAAAAAGAATGAGCACACATCGGACATGCCTGTATCTGCAGGACAGATCACCACGGTATATTCTAAAAAGCATTTAACAACTGTTTTGCTTTATAAAACCACTTTCATTGTGTGTGTGCATGCTGCTGCTGTCTGTCTGTGATGGAGTGTGTTCCTGCGTGCTGTCAATGTGTGCTGATACCGCTTGTGCAGCAGTTCTGGGATTAACTACACCGGGATTATCAGATTGTTTCAGAGCTGCTAGAATAGACAAGATGACAGCTTCATATAGGGCACCTCACTCACATACACATATGCAGCACACACAACACACACTTAATCCATCTCTCCTTGTTAAACTCAGATAACCCGTTGTCTGTTTATACAACCCTCTATGAGGTTACATGTACAAAAGGAAGACGACACTACAAAGCAGTTAAAAACTTCTACCTTTAATGTATCATTCAGATGCGTTGACATTTTAAGGTTTCTAAGCATTTTATTGCAGTTTAGTACAAACTCTACAGCTGTGAAATGAATAATACATTGCACATGGTATCAACGTTAGCATCACAGGATTGTGACTTAGCCAAATTTAAGTCAAAAACATTTAAAGTATGTGTCTCTTTGTGTACGCTGCATCTGTACTCTCTTCTAGTTTACGACAAAAAGTACTATACATCTCCTGAGCAGGTTCTCTGGTGGTTACACATTCATGAATTCCTGCACAGAGGAGGTGTTTGTTGTGGTGTCTGTGCAGGGCCTGATAAGATTCCCCATGTGTCGCCTTGTCTTGGCCATGTGTGAGGGAGCTGCGGCTGCTGCATCAGTGGAGCATAAATCAAGTCTAAAGTGTCAAAACCCAACAGGTGTTCTACCCGCCACCAGCCAAACTCACACTCACCAAGAGCCTCAGACACCCCCCACCCACACCCTGGCATCCTTTCCTCCTCAACTCTTATTTGATGTTTGTTTTTCTCCCTCTCTCTAGCTGGCAGGAGTAGGGGAGGCCGACTTCTCCATATCCACAGGGGTCTCTTCGTCGGCGCTGGGGTCAACCTGCCCAAACTTAAGCATGGTGAGGACCTTGACTTTGACGTCCTCAATGGTTTCTTTCACTCCCTTCTCCAGGAGATAACCCTCGCTGTCGCCCTCTGGGTCCTCCAGAGCCATGGCCCCTTCCACAGCCGTCTGCAGGTACCGCAGGCTCAGCAGCACTGACATCTGACACAGACAGAGAGAGGCAATGAAGAGGCTGCATCTAATATTTGTGTCAGCAGGCAGAATTTGTCACCAAATCAAAAGGCAAAATGGTTTGAGAGGCAAACAAGAACTTTTTCCATCAGGTTATGGAACAATTCTTGCTCCTTTCTTGTCACAAACATTCCAAAACTCATTCATTCCTACTGCCATTCATCTGAGATGCACACATTTTTAGTCTGACTTTCCCTGTACATGCTTTCCTCTTTTTTACTCTCTGCACTTCTTTACTCACTTATGAAGACATAAAGTTTTAATCCAGTCTGAGTGTTTTTATTCAGCATGTGTTAGTACAACTTCCATGTTTGACCATGGAGGAATCAACATGATCATTACAACAATCATTAATAATGACCATGTGTGGGTAGGAGTGCAAAGAATGTTCACACTTTGATGGAATAATGACTTTTGGAACTGAAAAGGGGGGAGATCATGTATTTTCATTCATTATTCTTGGTAGAGCTCTGAGTTTTTTTGACCATTAATACTATATATTTGATTTCACCCTGTGGATTAATTATTAATTTAAGAAATCAAATGTTAAAATAGGGAAGGCCATTATTCCATTAACATATTAAAGTTTAATGTTAAGTTTAAGTGTTGTGGGTACATTTATAAGTCTGAAGTCTAGGTCTAAAGAAGATATAAATGATGTTGATGTATGCTTATATAAATGGTATCATATTATGTTAACCAAACAAACAAAAAAAGCAAATTTCAAATAAAATATTTATAATGATGTACCAGTTCTAACTTTACTTTAATAAATGTTCATTGTGACAAAGTTAGTACTCTACCACACATTTTACACATTTAATTTAATGTTTTCTCTTCGTGCTTCAGTTTGAACTTTTGTAACATGATTCAAAGCAGGGTTTGGAGTTGAAAATGAAACAGGTGCATCTCCTCATCTGGCCTTTTTATCTGCTCACATGTCATTCATCTGCCTTTGAATAAACACAAAACTGAGCTGCTGCATTTAAAAACATAGCGTCATCGATTAGAATGATGCTTTGTTTAACACACGTTTGAGCATCTGGTGGATTGACTGTTTGTGAGTCTGTGCTCTGCATTTGGGGTTTGGGTTCTGAGGTTGTGTGTTGGTTATTTGAAATGAATAAGATTTTGATATTCTGGAGTCCAATGTTTGAAATCAATGTTTGTCAGTTTGGTTTTACAGGTTTTTTTGTGTCAGTCATCATGTAAGTGTGTGTGTCAGTAGAAGTCTTTGTGTGTGGTGTGGTGAGCTCATTTTTTAGGGATCTAAATCTGTTTCCACAGGCACCATATTATTAACACCAAGGGATGAACCCATTGAGTTTTAGAGGGGTGGGCAGATCAAGGAAAATGTTTTATCATTATCATCAACACTTTTTTGGACATTTGGTGTTTGTGTGTTTGTATTTCTATCTATAGTTATGGGGGGTGATTTAGGTTCAATACCATCATTGTGAGGACATTTKGACTTTGTGAGGAAATTTTGGCTGGTCCTCACAAACTCAAACTTAGGTTAGGGTTAGGCATTTAGTTGTGATGGTTAGTTTTGGCAAGTGTCTGTGTGTTACAGACTAAGTGAAGCACTGCTTTGGTTCCCCACCTGTATTAAGATGACGGAAATCACACCAGGACCAGTTGAATTCAATAAGCCCATGTAGTAGTCAATCAGAGCTTGCCTACAGCCACGGCTGTACAGGTTGAGCTCCTCAGCTTGGTACTCGTATCTGTAGTGGGCGCTGTTGTCAGTCAGGTGGTACCGCATGCAGGGGCGAGGGGACGCCGGGTTACAGCAGCTGAAGGGAACGCCATCCAACAGGTAACGGCCATCCACATTACTCCGGATACGACTGGAGACAGAGGAGGAACGTGAGAGGACGGAAAGAAGGACAAGACAGTGAATTGATGTAATAGTAGCTAGAGAAAATTTCAGTCAAGTTAATGTCTCACTCTCAAAGAACACACCACATAAGGGAGAAATGAGCAGTACCTCTGTACAGGTGTCATCATGTCTGTTCTGTTTACACATACTTTTTTTATTTAATCTTTGATCAGCCTTTCTCTGCTCGCCTCACCACCAACCTTTCCATCCACTTCTGCTGCTCGTTTCGAAACTAAAGGCTAGATCTATTTTTAATTCACTCCTCCTCTGTCCTCACATCATTCTTTTTCTCCCAGCATCTCTTCATCTTTCCATTATATCGTATTCTTGGACTTTTTTTAGAGTTAAAATCTACTTATCTGTCACTCATCTAGACCTCCATTTCCTCTCCATTATCCTTATATCCCTTATCAGCTATTTCCCTCTCTTTATACTTCACCATCTCACCTCCCTGTGCCTCATTATTTTCAGATTGCTGTACTGTGATTCACTCACTCCTTGACATCTTTGGAGGTGAAGTCTAGGTATCGGTTGCTGACCCACTGAACCTCGAACCAATCCTTAAAATTGTTGTTTCCGCAGCAGCGAAACTCCATCTGCAGACGATCAATGGTCTCTTTCTGGAAACAGCGGCCCGGCACGTCCGTGTCCTTGTAGAAACGAATTCCATTCCTGAGGCCACCCTGACAGTGGAAAGAAAAGTGAGAGAGAAAGAAGGGGGTATTATTTTATTTTTTTTGTTTGTACCTCGAGAATGCTGTACATGTGCCTATTGTCAAAAATGCAGCTGTTTTAATCTATCTATCCCTTATCATTCTTGTTGCCCATTGCTCAATTTTCAGAAATATGGGACAGCACTCCTCTATGAGGCCAATTTGCACATCATTTTTGTAATATGTATTGGTTTTGAAATATTTTATTATTTGTAGTAGTAGTAGTAGTAGCCCTCCTCTGAGAGACCTTAACACCATACATTTTACAGCTACACCATTGTGATATAAGACTTTCTCTATCTCTTTTTAACCACAAGGCCATGCTGACGCATTTTCTGCCTGCTGACCCCCAGTCATCCCCCAATCATTACCCAGTGACCCCTACCTTCAGGGACTCCTCCAGGCTTCCCTGCAGGGCGTAGCTGAGCACCACAACAGCAATGAGCATATAACAGAGCAGCGCCGCCATAGCAAACCAAGCCAGCAGGAGAACCTTCCAGCGGGGGAAGCGGCTCGCATCCAAGGAGTCCTGACACACGCGGCTTGCGAGCCAGTTGGTGCCGATGGAGGCCAGGCCCACCATCATGAGGATGTTGGGCACCACATGGATCTCCGTGTTGTCCATTACCTCAAGAGAGGAAGAGCACAGTCAAATATAAATGTGTGAGAGCTGCAGCCAAACCCAGGTCACACTGTCATTTCCTCTGCCCACTTAAGCAGGTAATAATCCTGCATTCAATTAGGCTTATCTGTGCTATAAAAAATTTTACCTTGGCCGCTGAAAGATTCAGGCAGCTGCTGATATGCTGGATGGTAATAAGATGGCAAATTTAATTCTTTGTCCTGGTTACAAGGAAAGTCGATTGAGGCCTGAGTTTATTACTCGCAGAGTGTTTGAAAATCTGTTTTAATTTGTCCCATCATTGTTCGGCAATTACCATTGAAAAAAACTCATCTGGTGCCAAGCAAACTTTCTGAATGAGGTGATATATTTGAGATGACATATTTAAATAACAAATTACGTTATACTCTTTTGAATCATTCCGCAAGATCCTTTGTTTCCTGACACCATTGTCAATAGAATAAAAGAGTTTCTTGTAAAGTTTTTCAATCAATTCCACTTTGCTATACAACTTAGAGACTAGAGAATCACAGTCTCTCTTTGTAGATTAATGAATATCTGAAAGCATGCATTCAAGCCCTGCAGCTTTCCACTGCAGCTCAATGGATATCAATGCTTCCACCTGATCAATCACTGATCTATGAATCCCAGTGAGTAATTTGTAGAGGTCATGACCTTCACCTGTTGCTGCATCCTCCACCCTCATGGGTTAACATTCATTGATTGTATCAGAGTGTCCCAGAGTGCATGTTTACACCAGTGTTTTGAGCGCTGTCGTTTGTATTTGTGGATTAAACTGTTCAGCTAATTTCAAATAAATATCACTGATAAGCAACAACACGACAGACTCGGTAAACAACCACGAGCAAATGCGAAGCCCTGAGCACATATAGCACTGTTTGTGTAACTTTGACTGAGATCATGTCAGTTTTTCAGACTTCAGCCCCTCGAACTTTTTGTCCTTTAGTCTAAATGTTGACATTGCAATATATGAACTGCACTGGTGAATGGTCTGCATTTATGTCACACTTTTCTAGTCTTATCAACTACCTAATGCTCTCACAGTCACACACACACACACACACATTCACGGCTCCTGTATGTAGTGCTCCTCTATCATACATCCCATACACATGCTGCTGGCACAGCCATTATGGGCTTCAGTGTCTCGCCCAAGGACACTTCGACAAGCTGACTGAAAGAGCCGACCTTCTGATTAGTGGATGACTGTGTGTGAGTGTGTGTGTTCTTCCTCCTCTCTACCTCGGCCCTGCGTAGCAGCTCTGTCTTAAGGTAAACCCCTAGACAGAAGATGAAGGCGCCGCACATCACTGCCATCCATGACAGCAGCCAGAGGCCCTGTGCCAGACGCACCCGCCTCTGCTGGGTGAACTTCATCTTCAACAACATCTTCAAGGGTCCAGTACCACACACCAATCAATACAATGACAGGAGTAAGAGAGTGAGAGCAAGAGAGCAGGGGAGATGAGAATCAGCAAATTCTGGTCAAATATTTTATCATTCCAGAGGTGGCAAGCTGCATGTAGAAAACAAAACAGTCCAAAAGGTGGATTCAGTGCTGCTGCAGTCGTCGATTCAAGCCTCGAACTTGTTCTTTGGTGAGTTATTAGCAGGTTGAGCTCATCTAAGTTGTTCCAGGTGGAGAGGATAAGCAGGTAGATCCCTTTGATGGTAAAGGGCACAGTCGACCTCAGAGGATAATCCCAAAAATTTCACCTGGATGCTAAAATTGTTACAAAAAGATTTGTTTAATCCAATGCAGTCTTGTAGAAACTTGTGAGAAATGTGAGAAATTGTTTAATTAAAAAATTTGGAGAAAGAGATATTCCTTTTCCGTCAGATAACAAGTTTTCTCCTCAAGTTGACCGGTCACTCTGCCGTAGCCCCCCCCCCTTTCAAGCTGAAACCAATGATTTCTTCCTCCTGAAATGACCTTGTCTTTTGGTGGCGCCCCTCTGGGTCTGTGCGAGTGCGGTGCCCCCCTAAACCGCTGTAGCCATGGTCGGAGGACGCAGAGACTGGCCAAATGTGAGAGTTTGGAGCCATAATCTCCCCAGCGGAGTACGTGAGATCCTATTAAAGTCCAGGGGCCAATGGGAAAGTAGGCCAGTGTCTGATCAGCAAACTTATTCTGATAGACAAGTAGTCAGCTATGGAAGGCCTGATGGATTATTATGAAAGGTGGACTCACTTGGAGCCAATCAGCAGCCTGCAGCACTGTCGAGGGACACAGAAAATACAGAATCGTGACTGCAAACTGAGGCTGAATATCATATCTGAGAGTGCAAAACTAGTTTAGTGTCACGATCACTATATTTGTATGAGAAGAGAAATATAGTTGGTAGTTGTATGAGGAAGATGTAAACAGACCAGAACTAGAGGGCCACGCAGTAGAGCACGTACCTTCCGCTAAGGCCCAACAGTCCCCTGGACAAAATGGATGTGAGCCCACTTGTAAAGTTGCATATGTGGCCCCAATACCCCAGAACAGATGTGGGCATTTCTTGGCAACCTCAATCAAAACTACTATTGTAGGTGTAGATCTCCAGCAACCATTTATTGGCTTCTTCCCTGACCCATAACGGGTCCTTGCGCCAGGTTTTATGGAAATTAAAACAAGTAGTTTTTGTGTAATCCTGCTAATTACCAGCACAATAATAGATAAAATCATGAGCTCTTTGGTGGATATAAATATCAGCCTTTACTTAATACACTACAGTTGAAGTCCTTTGCGCAAACTAAGCTCACAATTTACTCCAGTTTTGGGCAATTAACTAATCACTTAATTTACTCGAAACCAACAACATCAAAATTTTAAAAAGTGTGTGTTACGTTGCGTGGTGGCAATACAATGATGGCTTTCAAGTATCCCTGCTATGATTTATTTATTGACTACACTGCGTACTGCTCCTTTAATGCAGCCCACTTTAAGTGAATATTATCCTAAGAATGATCTGAGGGAATTTGTGGAGGACGGTCAGACTGAGGCTGGTTCATGTCAAGTGAAAGTAAGACGATGGAGGGTAGAGTTATGCTCATTTGGGATTATGAATAGAGTGTGATTGGGAGAGGTGGGGGTGGGAATGGATCAATTGGATTATTATAAATCATTATGACAGTTCGAGTCAGAGCTGTAGCTTGGTTGAAGCCAGTCTCAGCGTACCAGTTCTTACAGCGCACCAATCAGAGAAAAAAAGACAAACACTCAACATGTAACTCAAGAAATGATCTATTATTATTCAGTTACCACACCAACATCAGTCACATGTACATATGTGAAATTTGATTATAGTGGCATAATGAGGAAATGTGCTTGTCCCTCTAGTGGCTGTGAGGGAAATGTCAATCCATTCACCAATATTATCTTATTATATTATCAATAATCAGCCACATTGCTATGACATTTAGTATCAATATACTGACACCCCAAAACATTCTATTCTTGCACACTGAGAACAGACATCAGTGTTTTTGTCCAGTCAGTGGTAAACTGGAGACGTTTGCTGATGGTGTTTGTTTAAGGGAGGAGTATTCCCCAGACACAGAAAAAACAAATACTGAAAATCTGAGGTGTTGATGAATTTAATGTGACTATTTTTATTGGTGAACAGCTGAAAGGGCACAGTTACATATTCGATTAATGAAGGTCTATACAGATTATATCAACATCAATATGTTATCTTATCTACTTTGTCACAACACATATTCAGAATTACAACTTTTATATCCTAACTGAACATTTTTATATAAAGACATGTATATATATGCACATGCACCAAGGAAATTAACATTAACAGTTACATCTAGAGTTATAGAATAACTTCCTAACTGTTTGAGGGCAGTTTTCTTCGGTCTGTTACCAGTCTGCTGTGTAAAGTTCAAAAGTTGTTCTTCACAAATCTTAGAAATGATCAATTGTGAGGAAACACACAACAAATAATTTCTTTGTGAAAAGATTGAAGTGTTTGAAAAGAGACTAAGTGAGTCTCTGCACACTGGCTCAACCTGTCTTTGTTCACCAGTCATCCATTGGATTGATAGCACAGCTTTCTATCATAAAATCATTTAAAAAACTGACAAGAGGTTGTTAACAGAATACTGCGAGCTGACCTTGGATCTGTTATTCACATTGTATGTACACAATTAACAGATTTTCTCATGGGCTCCTACGTTTCAATACATTAACTCTTTATCTCTTTACACTACAAATATCAAACACATGATGATACTCACTATTGGTTCTGTAGCTTATGTCACAAAGTATTTACTGAATGTGAATTACATGCTGTCAGTTAATTTGGGAGAAAATGACAAGGGAACAAACAGTAAATGACACATTATGGCAAATATCACGTTTAAATCCTATTTGAAATTGCTTTGTATGATAGAATATATTCTATTATTGCAGTTTCACCTTCTTTTTAAAATACTTTATCATTTAATTGTACCATTGTCTGTTTTATTCATGCAGCTCCTGTAACAGTAGACGTTTTACCTTTTATTTCAAGTACCAGTCTATTATATCTTGTGTCATAACTCTAATTCTTATTTTTAAACATAATGCAAAAAACGTAATTTTCCATCTATGGATTTATATTCATGAAGTACAAGCTAAAATAATAATAATAACAAACAGACAATTCTGTGAGCCTCATCATTTTGGAGAAACTAAAACATCAGTGGCATATATAAATGAATATATATTTATATACAATAAGGTGAGAATGTACGTTCATCCTGCCCTGTTGTTGAGATAAAATTTCACTCCACCACTTTGCCTGTTTGCTCCACTCCTCCCACCCACTCCTGCCTGACCTGTGGCTCTGTCCCTCCGCCCACCTCCTTATGGGCCTGCAGCTGCTGCATGAACTCATCCAGGATCTGCTGGGCTGACAGGGAGGTCACATCCACAAGGTCCTGCTCCAAAAGCGTTACCTCTATCCCTCCCTTTCCACCCCAGCTGTCGCCCCCCACATGGGCCTGCTGAGGGGCTAAAGGGGTGTCGATGTGGTCAATGCCCAGGGGAGGCTGCTTTTGGCTTTGGGAATAGAGAGGTTGGGGTCTGGCTGCATAACTGGCTGCCATTTTCTTATATATAGCACTGCTGATGTCAGCTACAGAGATAGGTGGGCTGTGGCTCAACTCATGTTGATTTGAGAGACAGGCTTCAGTTGCTGTTGTTGGCGTCCCCTGTTTAAAAGGCACGAAAGCAGTGACCCTCTGCGGACCTGCCTCTGACTTTGTCAACCGATCAAGTGCAGCCTCCTCCATTTTAGGAGCGTGTGATTGGCCATCTCCTGGCAGGGAGGTGGCGTGGTGGCTGATTGGAGCTGAAGCTGTCAGGAACTTCTGGATGGCCTCAGATGAGTTAAAGTGCTTCTCCAGTAAATCCTTTATCAAGCACGGCACCTGAGGTAGACAAGCCAACACGAACAATAACTCTGTATTCAATCCATGCAAAAAATATAGAATGGTCTGAGCACTCCTGAAGGTTTACCATAATGGGTTTACACCAAACATCATACACTTGTAATAACTCAACTCTTTTGAAATACATGTTTTAATTAAACTGCAATTTTAGGGGAGGAAGACAAGTTCTATTTCAACATTGGACTCACAGATGTATCATTGATAAAATATATTTTAGACTGAGCTATTGCCTTGTCATGTCCCAACCACATAGTGCATACTGATTATATGCAGGAATCAGAGCAGTATGTCTGCAACAAAAAATAAGCATTTCAAGATACGAACCTTTTCAAAACTTTCATTAATTTCTCAAAAAATAATGCAGGTATCTTGGTAAGGAAAAAAATCAGACATATTTAGGGGACTAATATCTATGATTGTGTACAATTTTGTGCAGCCTGATTGAATTTAGGGAGCTTGTTGGGCCTTGGTGGGGGTATGCGCTCTATTTAGTGCCATTGTACTTCGTCACGCATCATCTCATCATGCTTTTCCCAGAGTTGTGGGTGCAGAACATTGATTTCATGGTGTCTATTACTTTATTATCGTAACTCTGGTGTGATGAGAATCAAACTGAGATAAGAGCAGTAATACTGAGCATGTGCAATTGCTAAAAATACCTTTGTGTTTGAAACTAGGAACATGATGTGGGTGATGTGGTTTCATGATACTACATTTTTTATTCTGAATTGACCCTTCCAAGACAGAATTAAAAACCAATCCACCCTATTATCATATTCAGTAAAAAACATCCACTATGTGTTGAAGTGTGTATGGGTGTCCATTAGATGGCACCATGCTCACATTGATGTTTTCCAGTGCAGCAATGGTCCTGTGGGTGTCCTCCAACTCGGAGCTCAGCTGGGACACGCGGTTCAGCAGATACTTCCTCTCACTGCTCAGGCTCTCTGACTGCACGT